CCAAGAGGAAGTACAATAGGGGCAGGGTGGTAGAGAAACAATGGTGTTTTGGAAGCATTGAGCGAGGGATCAATAAATGTTTCGTCGTTCCAGTCGAACGGCGACATGCTGTTACCCTTCTGCCACTGATCAAACAGTATGTTGTTCCAGGATCAACTATAGTGTCTGATCAGTGGGCTGGATACAGTACCATCAAGGACATGCCAGAGAGATACGAGCATGAGACTGTCAACCACAGTCTCCACTTTATTGTTCCTGAGACCGGTGCTTTCACAAACATCATTGAGCATCTATGGCAGAAGTTTAAACAGGGGCACAAGGCAAGGTATAAGACGGAAAGTACACTTTTGCAGTCCTACATGGACGAATTTGTACGAAAAACAATATATGGAGACAGCGCATTGTACCATCTTTTGTCTCAAATGCAAGAGCACTATCCAGCTCCTCGTGGCGCTGTGTGAAGGTGAGGACCTTTTATTGGCTCCTGATCGATTATATACCGACCATTCAGTTTTTGAGAAGCCATTCATTTGAGGCGCGCTAATCTAGTCGGATCCATCAGCCTGACTACCCTCAGGTTGCTTTAAAAGGTTCTACTCGTCCATAGTTTCTCATTGCTACGTATGTTATCCAGCTTACCTCTAAATTGGGTAATTAAACACTTTTTGCACGACTATCGTGACCTCATCGTCTCGACCGTCTTATACTGTTGTTACATACTCCTCGCCAACCGCTCTGTTCTCAGGTTCTCACAAAATGTCAAACCCGTCCATATTTGCTCATAACTACCTACGCCATCTAGCTTACCTCAAATTTGTGTAATAAAACAGCTTTTCCACGACTGTCGCGACGTTATCGTCTCAACCGTCTTATACTGTTGTTGCATACTCCTCACCAACCGCTCTGCCCTAACTTTTTTACAAAATATCAAATTCGTCTATAATGTCTCACTATTGTTTATAAATCTTTAACTGCGGAGCACTAGAGCACTCTCAGGCAAACGGGACTTCGGAGTTCCAAAGTTGAGGTTGACATGATCGACATGTCTCCTCAGCTGCTCCAAGCTGCGACGGCAGCGACGCCGCTTCAGTTGCTATTTGCGATGAGGAGGAGCCTCGGAAGAGGCCGTTTCCCAAACAGTGTATATGGGGTGTCAAAATGCAAGAGTTTTTGAAAGGCTATAATTGTTAATGAAAAGTGAGAACCAGGACGCAGTGGCCAAACAATTTGTTTAACGAACAGCATAAACAAGCAAGCTGAGAAAGAATACAATAGCGATCGGCGCCACACTACCAATTTGCAAAAATCTGGCTCGATCGGTCCAAAAAAATGTAGTCCCTTTTTGAGGAAAAGCATATTACAGTGAAACGAGCAAGAAGCGCAAATTAAAGATTTTTTTACAAGCGTTATTAGCATAAAAAGCGTATACAATTCTTTAACACAAGAATAAAAGAAAGAGATAACTTTGCTCATTCTCGTAGCTCACTATCGCGACAGGCTGTATCTTCACACATAAAATTGAAAAATTGGTAGATATTGTAGGTGCAAGAAAATGCAAGTTTTATTTCAATTTATACTTAAAAATGTCTCAGTAAAAATTCTAGTCTGAGAAACTTTTTATTTTTTATTTTTTATTTTCACCTGCTATAAAAGCTTCAGGTTTTTTGTTGAAGGCGCATAATTTTAGAAGGCTTGCTGCGCGTAGCTATTTTTTTAATTGAAATTTCAAATCCACTAAAGATTCGGAATCTTCGTATATTAATTGGAAAATAAAAGAAAATATTACTAATTATTTTTTACCATCAAGAAAGTAATCATAGGTTTCTAGGCACATTTCTAAAATTGGTCTGACATTCTGGATTATGATACCACTGAGAGCGATTCAGAAAATCTTTGTCGGAACTGCATTAACTTGGTTTCGGTAGTTTAATTTTGAGAACGAAAGTAATTTATTAATGTAAATGACAACAAGTTTTCTGAAAGTGATTGATAGTACAACATCTGTGATAGCAATTGAGGCAACTGAAACTGTGCTGTTCAGTTTTTGGTGTAAAACCGAAAACGGAATACAGTATCAAGCAGTTTAAATTTTTATCACATTTTTAGCTATGGTGGTTTATAATACCTCCTACACGCAAGAAATTACATTTTCAGTTTTTCATAATCGAAAATTACAGTACCACCAACAAAAGCAAAAAAAAACAGACTTTATGATCTGTAAACAATTGCTGTTGTCATCCTCTTTATTCACTTCCAGTTTAAGCTCAGTTTCGAAAAACTTTTGCAAAAGTAGATGGTAAATTTTTGTGACATTAATGTTTTAGAGTTCTCCTAATCACTACTTTCTTGTCTCTTCTGCTCTTTTCTCGCCCATAGAGCAACTGCTAAAATATCATTTACCTTTTCTATATTTTGCAATCTCAAAAATATGTCCTAAAAATACAGATAGAAAAGTAAAGTTTATAAGAAGTAAATCAATTCTGGTTTAACTTAACAGTGAATGCGCCAGCTTTTTTACTTGTCTTTCAGCGCCAATCGCCAACAGTGCCTCTTTTTCATTACAGCACTAAACGATAACGATTTTTGTTAGGAACGGTTGAAGTTGTGATCAGAACCATGAAAGACTTTCACTTATTGAACAGCATTATTTACATTCCTTATGCAAAGCTTGCTTTCTTACGCCTATCTGTGCAGCGAAAACGTATTCAAAAACAAAAACTGCAAAAAAGTTTGCACACATTCAGTGGACATCTGTTTGCAACTTTCAGGACATCTTATATTGCTTAAAGGTTAACCACAGTTCTCCTCCAAAGTTCTGTTTCCGTTTGTATCAAATAGTAGCACAAATTGTTTTGATCTTGTTTTAGCAAGTCTTTATAAAGTAATAAACAAGATTTATCTGTAACATATGTGTTAAACGGCTTTACAAGAGTAGCTGCAACAAAAAATAACAAAAATAAGTCCCCCATTTTCACATCTACCATTATTAAGTAATTTTCGTTGTTTGGAAAGATATTAATATAACAAAAATTAAGCAGGTCACCAATTTACTCATTTATTTTATCTGTGCATTTTTTTTATCTAAATTGAATTTTTTTATTAAGTACTCCAGCGTGTCAAATGATTGATAAAACGGCATTGTGTTTTGTCTATCGCAGTTCAGTAATAAAAGTGACAATTGTTGAATAATT